CAGCCCAAGACATTGTTCGCTGCTCGAATGCTTGGTGGAATGGGAGCCAGAGGAGTGGCTAAAGGACATGGCCCGTGTTATTCCACACCCTGTCCCATCTCAGCGAGGAAGAGTTTCATAAAAAAGTGACCATCAACAGGTGGATCTCCCAGAGATGGCTTGGAAGGCTACATGGCAGATGGGCCAAGTCTGATTTTTTTATGTGGAGGACTCAAGTGTGATTGTATTGATTGTGTCACCCGATCTTGCTGTATTTAAAAAGTGCTGGGATCCTACCTAGGACCCTCTCTGAAATCACAGATGGATGGGTACAGACTGGCTGCTTAGCACAAGATAATATTAGGAGACAGTGAAGATGATCCAGAAAGCAGAGTGAGAAAGATCAGGGATGCAAAAGGGTGGTGACATGAGCTGAGTGCTGGGTCCTTGCTGATCTGATCGCCCTGAGTATGAATAGGCAATGTGCTTAGTTCCAAAGACCTTCCTCACCTGGTAGGTGGGACACACTTTTAAACCAAAGCAGATGGAATGTGGGATTATACTTTTTGAAGGTATCAGGTCAGCTCTTAAGGAGACAATTTGGCTTTTTTCCCATCTAAAGCAGAGGTGAAGCCTGATAACGTTCCTTGCTGTCTTCCCTTTGAACATGCATGCACGTGCACATACAACCACACACAGTTACCCATACACACACATGCACACATACTTCCTAGTCCATCCTTTCCCTGGCAGTGTAGGCTTTGGAGAATCCTTCCTTTTTGTGGGAATGTTAAGTCAAATGCCTAACTTCCGTAGAGGCAATCAAGCCCTTTCATTCATGAAATTATCAAATATCCCAAGGTCAGGTGACAGCAAAAGCTGTCACTGCTTCGCTTCTAGTCCTGGTTTTCATTTTCCTCTTCTTTCCTAGTTTTTGTGGCTGTCGCTAACTTTCTTGTAACGCATTTATAAAGAGATTTGTAATATTCTTTCTTTTTTAAAAGATTTATTTTACAGACAGAGCACGCGGAGCGTGCAGGAGGTGGGGCACAGGGAGAGGGAGAGAGAGAATTCTCAAGCAGATTCCCCACGGAGCACAGAGCCTGATTCAATCTCACAATACATGAGATCATGACCTGAACTGATATCAACTGACTGAGTCACCAGGGTGCCCCAAGATTTGTGATATTATTTCCAACGTTTTCAGCAGTTTGTATTAGACTTTTTTTTCTAAGTACCTATTCCAGCTTACTGCTGAAAATGGCAATCTCTAATAAATTATTTAAAATTGTTTCATTCAAGTGTAATACACATATTATCCACACGCAGAAAAGTGCACATCATAAGTGTACTACTGAATGAAGAACCAAGAAATGAACTTAATCATGTGACAAGATCCAGGTTAATAAATGGAACATTACCAGCCCTCAGAAACCCACGTTGTGCCCCCTTACAACCACAACCATTTCCCTCTACCTAAAGATCACGAGTATACTGATTTCTAACACTAGAGATTTATTTTTGCATGATTTTAAATGTAATCTACTGTATGAACTATATTGTGCCTAAATTCTTTTGTTCAGTGTTAAGTTTATAAGAACTATTCATTTTGTTTTGCTATTATTCCTTTTTTTTGAGCTTAAAGAAAGAATATATTTGAGCCACATAAACACACAAACAGGGATTACAAAAGAAAAAGTTATGTAACAGTTTATGTAAGTACCTAACATACCAGCATGCTTACAGCTAAAACAAGACATAAAAAGGTAATACGGGTACTGTGTATATAGTTCTGACAAATGTGCATTAAAGAGTCCTCTAATATAAAAACATTTAAATTGTGGAGAATACTTTTCATGATACAGAAAACAACTGTTAAAATAGGCACACCCACAATCCTTATAAAAATATGCTTGCCAAAGATAAAGCTCATCCAAGCCCCAGTTCTCAGATGTGCAAAAGCCACGAAGCTGTTAACCCTGGGTACTGTCTCCCCCTCTGCGTCATGAGTTTCAACACTGACTGGTATGAATTATGAATTACAGTTAATTATAGTTATTCTTCAGTGTTTCTGCCAAGCTCCCTATAGGATGCATCTACTTAATATGAATACTTAAAACAACATTACTTGTATATAAAAGTCACTTCCTTAATGTCCTTTTTTCCTTTCCTAGAAAAGGCACTATATTTAGAAAATACTTATTACCACAAGTAGTGCTGTGGAAAATCTGAAACTCCAAATCAGTGTGCTCTATCAACAACAAGTACATCTAAGAAGCCCTAACTAAGAGAACACAAAATGTAAAAAGCTGATAAATTTAAAGATCATAAAATTGGTCTATTGTAAAAGCAATTCAAGAATACCCAGTTAAAATCTTATCCCAACACTACCCAGTACAACCCAGAAGGCATTAAACACTTTGACATCAGAACTAGGACACAGAACAAGAGAGACCAAATCAAGGTTGTGATTCAGATTCAGGAAGAGGAAGGACTTTCAGGCGCCCTTCAGTCAGTGCCAGGGGCCACAGCAGACGCAGGTGTAACTCAAGTGACTGAACTTTTAGGAACAACTGCCTTTTGTGACAACAGAAGAAAAAGACACGTATCAGGTTCTCTATCAAGGTCCCCCTAATCTCTCGCAATCCCTCCCACGTCCCCACCCTTGCCCTGATCTAAAGCTACTGCTGACGTGTAAGACGCGATCTTACTTGTGGCTTATTGGCACCCGTAAGCACTCCTTCCAAGTAGCTTTGACCTTCAGCATGTGAGAAAAGAACGACATGCTGTCTCATTCATACCCTCACTTATGCATTCTAGGTAGAATTTCATTATTGCTCTTATATATAAAAAAAATCTGCACAGTGGCCATTTCCCCTCAGACTTAATTTCAAGATAATCTTTCTGTTTTCTTTTTTTTAAATTTTTTAATTATTTATTTATGATAGTCACACACACACACACAGAGAGAGAGAGAGAGAGAGAGAGAGAGAGAGAGAGGCAGAGACAAGGCAGAGACATAGGCAGAGGGAGAAGCAGGCTCCATGCACGAGGAGCCTGACGTGGGATTCGATCCCGGGTCTCCAGGATCGCGCCCTGGGCCAAAGGCAGGCGCCAAACCGCTGCGCCACCCAGGGATCCCCTTTCTGCTGTTTTCTTAATAAAAAGCTTTAGAGTCAATGATTACGAAGGATTGACCTATGAATTCATTATATAGAACAGTGATTGCACTTTTTGAGCAAAGTACTTAATATAAAACTTCTCACTCCCAACTTTCATACTCCTCTAACTGAAGGGTCAAAATACTTAATCTATCTTCCGAAGCAAGATGAGACTCTCCATAGCAGTGTTAGCTAGGAAAAATGATTCTTCGGTTATAGACCCTTGAAAATAAGGACTTATTCTAGAATATTGAAAGACCCTTAATCACAGAGGTGCTAGCTGGTGCCACTATAATTCACAACCAACTATTACTGTCATAGCTTATACTGAAGAGTTGATTCATGCTCATTTTGTTCCTTTAAAAAATACTCTTTGGAAACCATTATTTTTACTCCTGTAGACACATACTCTAGTTATATCTCTTCCTGTAAAAATAAAAGTATAATCATGATTATCTCTATTTCTTTGCTAAACTCAACTACTGATATACATTAATTAATCTGATCACTTTACCAGCTAACTCACACCCTCGGCAGTATTCTATGTATACTTCCAGGGTCAATTCTCGGCATACAGAAGTAGGAGCAAGTCTCCATGTATATTATGAACCTACTTAGTGATTTCCCATCAAGGTTCAAAATTAGTCCAAGGGAGTGTCAAGGGAAAATAAAGCTGTATCTTGTTTGCTTCTTTCAAATTCATCAGACAATACTGTGTGCCCAGAGTACATATAGTACTCCTCCAGACACTATGCTTTCTAGAATAACTACCTCTATTGTCTGCAGACTGTCTCAATCAGATTTACACTACTGTGAGATATAAACTATTAGTCACATATTCAAAATACATACATTCAAAACTACCATTTTAAAATAAATTGGAAAGTATGGAAACCTTAAAAAAAGATACATTCTGCTATCACACTATTATAAACCTTGTAAGTGTGTGTATGGGTATATATAGAGAGAGCAGATAATCAAGATTTAAATAAGATGGTAAAAAATCAGGAAATGTAGATTTTACCAAAGGAACTACAATAACCGCACCAAGCAACAACTATAAACAGATTGGCTACTATGGTAATTTGTCTCGGTTCTGGGGGAAAAACAAAAACAAAAAAAGCACAACCCAACCAATCAAAACAAAATAAAATGAACAAAAAAAATACCAAACCCACAATAAAACCCACCAAAACCTATACTACAGTATGTGGCAATAATTAATATATTTCTATGGAAACTGTCTCATGCCTCAGAAGCTCCTAAAATAAAATCAAGTTCACTCTGTGACTAAGGCTAGCAGTGTGAGGGAAAGCAGAACAGTCTTCAGCCTTGGTTTCAGCTAGCTCATCACATCAGCATTAAGGACTCAACATCCACACAACATTTTTGGCTTGGCAGACCAGTAAGTCATGTTTCTCCACTGGCCGAAGGCAGCTGAAGAAACAATTGCCTGAACAAACTAAACGCTGTGACATGAAGCATTTGACTCCCAAGTCTGAGGATTTAGTTAAAATGATCGGTCAACACCTAACTGGGCAAAAGGAATGGCATCCATCATCCAAACAGGCTCGCTTCCCCCAGCCCCCAAAACGAACAGTAGTTATAATAGCAAAAGAAACAAAAAAAGTTTTTTTTTTTTTATTCTTTAGAGCCAACTATGAAAGAGGTCAGCAACATATTAACAGCAGCAATGGACACAAAGAGCAAGATAGTGGATGAAAGAATCTTGCTGGACGTCTGTTCATCTTTTTCGGTGTCAGCCAGAAGACTACGACTGGCTTACTTGGAAATTTCGAGCATACACGTCTCATCTCCTTAGATCCTTCACAGGTTTGGAATTCGGTCTGCCTGAGGGCTCTAGAACCATGTGAGAAAGCTTTCTGTGTCCAGCTTGGTGGCAGCCAGCACGGACTCCATGTCGTTAAGGATGTCCGAGCTCAGAGCTTCCTGCAGACTCTGCATCAACTCCTCTCCTTCTATGTTCATCCCATCTCCCTCCAGCGTTCCGAGGTCCACATCTGTCCCAGGAACGGCTTCTAGGTAGTCTGGGAAACGGTTCTGCTGGGAGGGCAGGGTGCTTTGGTTGATAGCATCACCTGTGTCCATCTCGTCAACACTGTTCAGGAAGTCATCTGGGGTTCGAGGGACGCTGTAGCTGCTCATGCTCAGCCCACTGTCTGTGCTTTCATCCCGGGAGTGGTAGGCGCCACTGTCGAGGAAGGGATCTGAGCCACTGGTCATCATCGTCCTCAGTTCCTGAGACATCCCGGGGGGGAGGGGCACTGGACTGGGAGTCCCGCCATCCTGCTCCAGTGTTGGTAACTGGCTACGAAGAGCTAGTTCCTGACATTTCGGAGAATTGGCTGTGCTGGGACTGATGTTCCGCATTGCCCGGCGGAGCAGCTCCTGCTGCTTCAGGCGCAGCCGCTCCTCCTCCATCCGCAGCTGCTGGAGGCGCGTCTGTTGCTGTTGGCTGGAGCCCCCGCCCCCTAGGACGCCTGGAGGGCTCTGCGGGGCTAGAGGTGGGGGCGGCTTCCCCGGAGCGCTCTGGCCGATTCTCTGCTTCATGGCGAAACGAGGGTCAAGCCTTGGGTCTAGCCAAGAGGTGGTCTTGCTCTTATGGTTTATGTAGCGTATTTCTCCATCCTGAGTCATGGCTTGCTCCCACCCATCAGGAAGAGGACCTGAGGCTGAGCTCATCCCGCTCTGCTGCACTGGGGGGCTGGGGGGCGCCGTGACGCTCCTCCGGGACAGCATGGCCTTCCTGGGGTCCAGCCACGTCGTCGTCCGATCGACGTGATTCGAGAAGTATCTGACCAGAGGAGGTTCTGGCCATCTCCCAGCCGGCAGGCAGAGGCACGTCGTCAGGCATCTCAAAGGAGGACTGGCGGAGGTGCTGGGCGCTGGGTGCAGCTGCGGGGCCGGAGCTGACCCCAGCGGGCGTCAGGGTCCCCGGGGACACGGCTCCCAGCTGCAGGGAAGCTGCAGAGGAACGAGCTCGAGCATGCTGCGGGCTCAGGGCTCCCCAGTGCCTGCATCGGTGCCGGCCTGGCGGGAGTGTGCCTTGGGCTCCGGCGGCTTGAAGAAGGAGTCGGGCAGCTTCCGCAGCCGCATGGGCACCGTCTGCGGCACGTTGGCCGCTTTGGGGTTCATGACGGCGTGGAAGAGCGCCTCCAGGTCAGTCTCCGAGTCCCCCCGGACGTGCACGATCCGGTGGCCGGCGGGGGGGGCCTGCGGCGCCGCCTGCGACCCCGGAGGCGCGAGGGGCCCGGGAGCGGACGGCGGGGCCTGGCCCGGGGGAGGCGGCGCGGAGGCGGGCCCTGGGCTGAGCGGGGCGGCGGGCGGCGGGGCCGGGGTCCATAGCGCCGGGCTGCGGGGCTCGGGGACTCGGGGGCTCGGCCGCCTGGGGGGGGGTGAGAGCGAGCGCGAGGGAGCCTGCGGGTGAGTGTGCGAGAGCCGCGCCCGCCCGCCCCGCGGCCCCCGGCGGCTCCGCGGCCCCTGCGCTCCCCGACGGTCGCGGGGCGGCTGCGGCGGGGCGGCCGCTCCCTCCCCCGCTGCCCGGCTTCCTCCGGGACTTACTTCCTTCCTCCCTTTCTCTCCCCGGCGGCGGAGGCGGGGTCGGCGGCGGCGGCGGCGGGCGGCAGCGGCGACGGGCGGCGGGCGGCGGCGGCGGGCGCCGGGCGGGGGGGGCGGCGGGCGGCGGGGCGGCGGCGGCGGCGCCCACGAGAGCAAACTCGCCGCCGACGCCAAGACGTAAGTTGAGAGAAGCGCCCGCCCGAGCCGCGCGCCGGCCCCGCCCCCTCGCGGCCCTTCCTGCCTCCGCGCGCCCGCCCGCCCCGGCTGCGCTCCCCCGCGGGCCGCGGTTCCTCCTATTGGATGAGTGTATCGTGATAAATGTACCGATTGTACTATTGTTGGGCACTGGGGTTGTTTTAAGTGTTTGCTTATTATAAATAATGTGGGTATGAACATTGTTGTGTGTGGCCTTTGGATGCATGTGCGGGCGTATTTCTGTTAATCATCTAAAAAGAAATGCGAAAATATTGGGTCAGTTATCAGTGTTATTTGATCATGGCAAACAGCTTCTGTAAAATTCACCCTGTGACCAGAGGTAGAGTTCTTCTGACGTCCTGTTTGCCGACAGGAATTAGTTTAGTTTAGTAATGCAACTAAAAACTTTTTTAGCGATGTTTTCAGGCATCGGTATCCTACTGCATTTACAATTTGCATGACCCTGATGACTAAAGAAATAGAAAGTTTTTAATTAGATTATTGGACAATATCTTTTGTGAATTTCTGATTTAAGTAATTGACCTGTTTTTTATTAAGTTGTCTTCCTCATTTGTTACTTAGTAATTTGTAATATACTTGGATAGGAGCTTCTATGGTTATACAGCTTGCAAATACTTTCTACTTGGTATTTTTAAAAAATATTTTATGTGTTTATGTATATACGTATGTATTTTTTTTAATTTTTATTTATTATTTATGATAGTCACAGAGAGAGAGAGAGAGAGGCAGAGACACAGGCAGAGGGAGAAGCAGGCTCCATGCACCAGGAGCCCGACGTGGGATTCGATCCCGGGTCTCCAGGATCGCGCCCTGGGCCAAAGGCAGGCGCCAAACCGCTGCGCCACCCAGGGATCCCCGTATGTATTTTTTTGAGAGAGAGCGAGCATGCAAATGGGGGGACTAGCGGGGGAGAGTGAGAAAGAGAGAGAGACTCTCAAGCAGACTTCATGCTCAGCATGGGGCCTGATGTGGGACTCAGCCTCACAACCACAAGGTCATGACCTGAGCTGAAACCAAACGTTGGATGCTTAACCAACTGCACCATCCAGGCACCCCTACTCGGTGGTTATTTTTACACTTTCTATTTGATGACTTCTCATGAATTGCATGACATTCTTATTAATATAGTCCGATTTATCAAATTTTTCTTCATAGCTAGTGAGATTGGGTTTAAGAACTTGCCCTATTCCTACAGAATGACAGGATCTTATCCTTTAGGTTCCAATTCTAGAAGTTTTATTATTTACCTTTTGTAATTATACATAAAATTAACCTGAAATTGGTTTCTACATATGGACATTTCCTTCTTGGGTAGTTTATTAAGATTTTATGTTTGCTTTTGGCATGAACGGATGTTGAAATTTATCAAATATTTTGTTTGCGACTGTTGAGATGGTCACATTTTTTCTCTTTTGTTTTCATAGTGTAGCAAGTTACTTGGAGCCCTTTAATATCAAAACACCATTGTATTCTTGGAGCAAACCCAATCTTGGTTTTAATGTTTTATTCCTATATTTGCTGGATTTGATTTGCCAGTATTTTACTCAAAATTTCTGTCAGTTTTTATATTCAGACCCTGCTGAAATTTTAAAATAAATTGAGAAATGCTCCCTCTTTTTTTTTTTTTTTTGTCTTGGGAGAATCTGTGCAGGAGTTGAATTATCTTTTCCTAAATGTTAGTGGAATTCACTGATGACACCATTTTGGCCTAGAGTGTTCATGGTGGCCTAGAGTTGATCATGGGAGCAGTGTCTTGAACGGACATTGGGCGATTCAGATTTTCTATTTGTTTTTGCACCAGTGTTTGTAAATTGTGTTTTTCTAAAATTTTTTTCATTTTATATAACTTTTCAAATGTGTTGGGATATATTTGCTATTGTGCCTGTTAATTTCTAAATATATGGAGATTCTAAATAGTTATTTACTGTTGATTTCTAACCTATTTCTCTGTGATCAGAGAATACAATCTATATAATTCTGTTTAATATCCCAGAATTTGTTGATTATGATTAAAGTCCCATGCATATTTGAAAAGAATGGCAGCCTATAAACTGATACTGAAATTGTTTTGTTGAAAAGTCTCTGGATACAAGTGTTGACTTAATTATATTTCTTCCCACTTCTGTGGATTTTTTTTTTCTGAATATTATTAGATAATATGAATTCAGGCCTATTTTCTCCTCCTGCCAATTAAAATTATCTTTAGAAAGTGTCCTCTTCACGTCCAACAGGGTCTTTTGCATCCCCACCAGGAGACCACATTCTGGGGCTGACTCATCCAGGGGTGGGCACCAAGTAAATCCATCTTGAAGTCATTTGCCTCAGTCTCATCACCGTGCATGATTTCCCCACTTATTCCTGCCTGATCTTACCTACACTTCCTGATTAAACTCATCTCAGTTCTCTTTCCAACCTCTGAAGAAATTTTGAAAAGAAACCTTTTCCTATACACTTTAAAAATCACCTCGTGTATTTTGTTTATGCTTAAGTGATAGAAAACATTTTTACCTGCACTTCAATAGATGAAATATTTACCTTCAAACTGTTTCCATGAGTTTTCCTTTCACATGTAGAAAAGGTAATCTACACATTCTCTTTCCAAGTAACTGTACATTCTGAATTAAACTGTAAATATTTCAAATTAAACATACGTGGATCCCCACAAGAGTCAAACAGAAATTATGGATCAACCATGATCTGATTTACTGGGTGAACTGAGTATTAAGCCCAATTATTGCTTTCCCACTACTAAATCAGGAATAGAATCAGTGCCTAAAATGAAAAAATAAAACCAAGTACAACTCAAAAATCCAAATCTTATTGCATTGCCAAATACCCCTAATACTAACTTTGGGGTTATCATCAGGCAGTCATTTCCCTCCTGATCAGGGCATTTCAGAGCTTGCTAAATCTTGAATATAGTGTGGCCAGAGCCTGTTTTTTAAATATTTCCTAATTGTGTGGTAAGAGATGCTTCTGTGATTTGAAATATGTGTCTATAGCATCTCAGAGAACTTTTTATACTTTGAGGATTTGTGAGCTCACATATTTTAAACAGGTAATTGTACACCTTTAGTTGTATTTCCTTCTCCTTACCATAAATATCAGATGCTATAATTAAAGAAAGGCATGAAACCAGAGTACAAAATAGATGGTGTGTCTCCCCAAAGTACAACTTTGAAAGAAACAAATCCCTGTAAAGCAACAGGAACGTACTCTGTGATTATGTGCTCTGGGGCAGTTACACAGCCAGCATGATGCGGATTACAAATTTGCTTGCTCTGGCAGGAAGGATTTGCCTATTAATGGAAACCAGCTCTTCAGAAAAAATGCTATGCCCAAAGTAGTGGAAGGATGTCTTAATTTAGCTCTGGGCCACATTATTACTGCCGGAAAAAAAAATCACAGAAACGATCAACTCTATTCAATTAATAACATCCTTGTGAATTTATGCAACACAAAGGAGATATTAAGAATGGTTCGTCTAAAGTGAATCAATCTCTAGGGTTTCACCACTTTTTTCTCTCACCACACAATATCTCTGAGCTTTCCAACTTGTTATTTTTCATTCAAACCTATGCAGGGAGACACTTTTAGCAACTCATTAGAAAATGTTTGTGCTTTCCTTTTTGGAGTGACCAAAGAAACTTGGGCAGGTCCCTTAGAACCCTCCCTCAGCACTGAGGATAGAAGAGACTACATTTAGGATTCACTGAGCATCAAATATCTCTGCTTTCTTACTCTATGACTTTTGCACAAATATCTGGTCTCTTTCTAAATTTGGGTCAAATTATGTCACAGCTTATACAGATAAGGCTTATGGAAATACTTAACTCAAAGTTGTAAAAGGCAGAAAGACAGAAAAAGGTCGAATTGAAATACATAGGGTCCAGAACCTAAGGATCTTATTTCATTTCTGAAACGTCTTCACTTCCAGAATCATCTCTTGGTATTTTTGGCATCTGTTATAAAGTAAGGATTTTTATTGAGAACGTGTTAGTGGCCGGATGCATTAGTAAGTGCTATTTATATAACATTCAATAAGATCAACTTCCTCTTGCAACTTTGTTGAGGCAAAACAGCCAATGATTGCAAACCTAAGTGATAGGCACGTTGAAGATGCTGCAGGATTACAAAGGCTCAGCATAGGAGCACCGGAAAAGGCAATGGTATAGGTTTGGATGTGGGGTGTGCGTGTGCATGTGCGTGTGTACGTGCACATATGCTCTCTTCCACGGGAAGCAGACACTGAAATCAGGAATTGAAACAGCAATTGGATCCATACAATTTTTCCAGTAAAGAATTCAGGGAGAGGCATTGCGGAGGAAGGGAGCAGCATGGGCAGGGGCTTTTGAGGAACAAAATAACTCATTCATGCTCTCAGAGTGTGAGAGGAGGGAGCATAACTGAGGCCAGGAGGTATGCAGAGGGAGGCTGAAGGAGAGCTTTGTGAGCGACGCCAAGAAGTCTGAACTTTATTCTAAAACTGTGGGCAGGGATCCCTGGGTGGCGCAGCGGTTTGGCGCCTGCCTTTGGCCCAGGGCGCGATCCTGGAGACCCGGGATCGAATCCCACGTCGGGCTCCCAGTGCATGGAGCCTGCTTCTCCCTCTGCCTGTGTCTCTGCCTCTCTCTCTCTGACTATCATAAATAAATGAATGAATGAATGAATGAATGAATAAATAATAATAATAAAAATTTAAAACTGTGGGCAAACCTTGGAGGACTCCGAGCAAAGGAATGACATTAGATCTAGGAGTAGAAACTCCACCACTCCTGTTCTCTCAGTACACCCGTCGGCTTAGGTGGCCAGAGCACAGGTGAAGCTTTGACTTTATAAGATCCTGGAGATCAAAGACTAACCTGATGCTTGCCGAGTGTCTGGGACTGAGGCTATTTTCTGGAACACTGGTGAGCTTGGTAAATATTTGATTTAAATGGCTGAATAAATAAATGAGTAAAAAGCCTGTGAGTATCCATCTAATTATCTCTCTTCTCCAGATCTATTATAGAAGCTGACGTATTGCCTGACCCTGACCTACAGTATCTATCTTGTGCCCCAGCACTGTAGCCTAAATAAGCTCTCAAACATCTCAGCAGCTGGTTTTTAGCAACCCCAAACTTGGTTTATTATAACTGACATTTGGTGAAAGTTCACCCTGCATGTCAGTGTGCTGGGTGCGAGAAGGAAGCCAAGACAGCAATGCCGGGTCCTTATCAACAAGCAGCTTTTAACTCACCCCACTTCTCCTATAAACACTTTTCCTAAATCCTGTATCTTACTTTTTATAATTAGATGAAACCTTCACCACATCAGGGTAAAACAGCAACTATCATCTTTAGTCAATATTTCATTGTATCAACATTCTAATTACTCCAGGGACTTGATATTATTTTATTCTAGGTGTTTGCCAACTCTCTGTTGTAATTAAAGAAATAATTCCCTTTAAGTTTGCTTTATCAATAAGTTGATCATTTAGAACTTGATCACATTTTGCTATTCACAGTATTATCAGTACACACTCAAAATTACTTTTATTATGTGTACCCTATTAAAATTTGACTGTAACAGATGGCAACTCTACAATTGCAGGGGGGAAGAAAACCTGTTTTTGCAATTTTAATATACATAGGCAGGGTTTGCTTTATATATGAAGAAGCTGAAATTCTTCCCCAATCTTAAATTCTGTTCATTTTGAATTTCTTTTCCACATGCCATTTTCTGAACATGCAGTTTCTGAACTGCTTCAAACTCCTATGTTTGAAAGTGACTGAGATGCTTGGAACACAGTCTTTTGCAGAGATTTGAAACAACTTGGTAATGCTTCTACAGGTTAACTGTACAGGGTAAGAGAAAAAATTGCATTAAATGTATGGATATGGAAATTGTGATGAAGCAGATGTTAGAACATGGGAATGCTTGTAATCAATTGTTTTGACTTCCAATTTGGAAGCATGAGGTCAGTCTAAATCTATAGTTTTAAATTTACCTTAAAAGCTCACATTTAAAAAAAAAGCTCTCATTTTCAGGGCACCTAGGTGGCTCAGTGGTTGAGTGTCTGCCTTTGGCTCAGGTCAGGATCCCGGAGTCCTGGGATCAATTCCTGCATCAGGCTCCTCACGGGAAGCCTGCCTCTCCCTCTTCCTGTATCTCTGTCTCTCTCTGTGGGCCTCTCATGAATAAATAAAAACTTAAAAAAAAGCTCACATTTTCAATGCACAGTACTTAGAAAGTTCAAAATTTTCACTTTTTAGATTGATACAGAATTCTTTATTTTAGCAATTATATTTAATATGACTAGACCATATATCATAAGATTACCACTCCATTACTGTAAAATTTTTAATGCTGGAGGTTTAAGTTTTGCCCATTTCAGTAATTTTTTTATTTTTATTTTTTGCATTCACTTTCTCTTCAAGGAAGAGAAGAGAAAGGAAACCATTTAAAATGTAAGAAAATTACATGGTGCATTCATATTCCTCAATTTCTGGGCCAATTTGTAGTGTTTTTCAGCTCTGCCATTAAATAAGCATTAAACACATTTTGCAATCCTGGAGACCCGGGATCGAATCCCACATCGGGCTCCCGGTGCATGGAGCCGAGCCTGCTTCTCCCTCTGCCTATGTCTCTGTCTCTCTCTCTCTCTCTCTGTGACTATCATAAAGAAATAAAAATTAAAAAAATAATAAAAATCTGTTTAAGCAATAACCAATGTATGTGTGTACATAATATATAATATTTAGTATTTAGTATTTCCCACAAAATTGTGGAATTCTTGACTTCCTCTTCTTCTCTCTGCCCTCAAATTGATCAATTAGATCCTAATGCTTCTACTTCTTAAATCCATTTACCTTTCCATCTCTTTCTTCATCACCACATTCTACTGATTCATAGAATATCATTAGAGCTTCCCAATGGATCTGCAACCATTTTTCTCCCTTCTAACCCATTAGCCAAATTATGGGTAGAAAAACTTGATTAAAATTGAAGAGTGATTCCAAACTCTTTTTTGACTGAATCCAGTAACCAACCTTCTCTGCTTCAGTTCATGCCAGTTTTCCCCCCTGCTCTTAATGCCTTGCATCCTCAGGGCCTCTAACCACATTCCCAGGGAAGAACTACCTCCCGCCATTCCTAAGTTTGTATCATCAGTGCCTACTGCCTACCCAAGCTTTGGTTCTTAGTTTAATGGCCACTGTCTGAAAAGACTCTTCCCTGATATCCCAATTAGACACCACTAATGTCAGTAATTCTATAGTCAATACATTTACAACTTCTAGTGCTCTTTTCCTTAATCAGTGTTTCTCAAGTTTGTCTGTCTATTAAAGCTGCCAATTACATCAAATTCTCTAGAATGCTGTTAGGTAGAAGCTAGCCTGGCAGAGGAAGGAAAGCCCAGGGGCAAAGTCCTAAATCCTTGAAGGGGAATGATAGAGACAGGAGCTAGATGCAAGCACCTTGTGCAAGCTGCACATTAAAAGTGAGGGGGTTGGGGATCCCTGGGTGGCGCAGCAGTTTGGCGCCTGCCTTTGGCCCAGGGCACGATCCTGGAGATCCAGGATCAAATCCCACGTCGTCGGGCTCCCGGTGCATGGAGCCTGCTTCTCCCTCTGCCTATGTCTCTGCCTCTCTCTCTCTCTCTCTCTCTCTCTGTGTGACTATCATAAATAAATAAAAATTAAAAAAAAAAGCCAGGGGGTTTTGGCCAGGGGAGGAGGGGGGATGCCTAGGTAGCTCAGTGGTTGAGCAACTGCCTTCGGCTATCAAGACACCGGGGTCCCAGGATTGAGTCCCACATCAGGCTCCCCTGAAGGGAGCCTGCTTCTCCCTCTGCCTGTGTCTCTCTGTGTCTCTCATGAATAAATAAAATCTATCAAAAAATAAATTAAAAAAATAAAAGCCCGTGGGCACAACATTCTTACCTTGTGGTTTCCAAGACCTTGGAGATGACGGATCCAGAGCCACGGGTGTAGAGCATGCACTCTCCTCTTCTACCTCTGCTCCAGGGTAACCCCTAGACTCATTAAAATGCACCTATGATGCGGGTACAACTCCTGCCAAGGTGGGGACGGCTGCCATGACCGTTCAATTAAAACTTTATAGGGTCAACCCCCCACCTGTGGGAGGAGTCCTCCAAATAATTGGAAACAGCCACCACTAGAAACCACCCCACTGTTCTTCAGAGCTCCTCCTAGCCCTGGGAGACCAAATAATATCCAATCCCAGAAAACAACCTAGAGGCTAGTTCCACCTCCTGGAACCTGCCCCATATCCCACCTTGAGAACATACTTTTGCCTTCATAAACTGCTTTATGTGACCTGCTTCCCTTCCTGCATTCTGTACCCCAGCACGGATCCCTACATAAATCTCCTGGGCAATCCAAGGACCCAGACCTCCATTTGTATACTGTGGACTCTTACACCAATAACAATGGGACTCAGGCATTAGTATTTGTCTAAAACTACCCTGGTGATTACAATTGCTCACAAGGTTGAGAATGGCTGCTTTAAAAATGTGGTTCTCAAGGACAGCTGCATACTAGAGTTGCCATGGGGAGGTTTTAAAATATTTGACTTCACACAAATTAGTTAAATCAGAATCTCTGGGTAGAGAGGACAGGCATTGCTAGTTTCTAAATGTTCCCACCTGATTCTAATGGGAGATCAGGGCTGAAAAACCATTCCACTAGCTAGATTATGCCTCCAGTGCCCCAAATTATTCCTTATAATAGTCACAAAACAACAATGTGTGGGGGAAAAAATAAATGAATTAATTAATAATTTAATAATTATTTGACTTTGGTTACTTTGATCATTCTTTTGTGTGCCTCTGCAGTCTATCGTTTACAGAAAGCAACATAAGCTTTACTTAAATTTCAGAGGTCAGCACAGGCTTCATAGGCTTGGCAAGGATTTTTTTTAAATTTACGATAGTCACACACACAGAGAGAGAGAGGCAGAGACACAGGCAGAGGGAGAAGCAGGCTCCATGCACCGGGAGCCCGACGACGTGGGATTCGATCCCGGGTCTCCAGGATCGCGCCCTGGGCCAAAGGCAGGCTCCAAACCGCTGCGCCACCCAGGGATCCCAAATAACTCTAATTTTAATCAAATCTTGAAAGAAAAAAAAGAGTAAAGAAATTGCTTGACTTTAAGAAGCCTCTCAACAAAACCAGGTTACTATTTTACCTTTTGAGGGCTGTAGTAGCCATGAAGGTGTTGTTCAGAACTTCCTTCAAGAAAGAACTCTTGAGCCCAGTTAGCTGACAGTTTCCAGCTATGAGTGCCTTTAGGCCACACCCAAGCTCTCTAGCAGAGGCCACTATGCTGGCTCTTCCCATTTGCAGCGCCCAGCAAATGATAGAGCATGGTCAGAATGCCAGGACCTGGCTGATTCTGCCCAATGTGGAGCTTTTCTACTAGATGCCCTTTTCTCCGGAGCTTCCATTTGGGTTGACCAAGCCTTTGTTGGGTCCGCACTGTGGTCTGAGGCTCTCTCTTCCCAATCCTGCTTCCTCCCTAAGATTGCAGTCTGAAGGGTTTCTCTTCCCAATTCCCTTCTTTTCCCTTTGACCTTTCATAGGCTATTCCTTCTAATAGACCTGTTGCCTTCCTAACCCTCTCTCAGTATCTGCTTCCCAAAACATCCAACCAACATAGAGGGCTTCCAGTAATATAATCATATAAGATGCAATGTTAGGGTTTTATTTATTTATTTTGATTTTTCAATTTTCCTTTCCTAGCTCATTCTCTCTGAAGATTTTTAGTTGCTCTTTAGCACTGCCTTTGGCCCAGGGCCTGATCCTGATGATCTGGGATCGAGTCCCCCATTGGGCTCCCTGCACAGAACCTGCTTCTCCCTCTGCCTGTGTCTCTGTCTCTCCCTCTCTCTGTGTCTCTCATGAATAAATAAATAAAATCTTAAAAAAATATTTTTGGGACGCCTGGGTGGCTCAGTGGTTGAGCGTCTGCCTTTGGCCCAGGGCGTGATCCTGGAGTCCCAGATTGAGTCCCACATCAGGCTCCTTGCATGGAGCCTGCTTCTCCCTCTGCCTGTGTCTCTGCCTCTCATGAATAAATAAATAAAATCTTTAAAAAATATATTTTTAGTTGCTCAATGTATAAGGCCTATTTCTGAAATGAAGAATAATTCCAGAAGAATTGTCTTTTTACAGTTTACTAATCTGTAAGGTCCATAAAACCTGAGAGTTTTGTTTGTTACTGTCACATCCCAATACTTGACACACAGTAGATGCTTGATGAATATTTGTTAAGTGATTGAATATATATTTTAAGAACCATTTTTCCTGTTTTTATTAAATAAAAGATACAAGAACAAGACAGTTATAATAGTATTTTATATAGACTGTATTAGTTTGATATGGCTGCTATAACAAAAAGCCAAAGACTGGGTGGCTTAAATAACAGAAATCAATTTTCTTATTTCTGGCGGCTGCAAGTTTGAAATCAAGTTGTCAGCAGTATTAGTTTCTTCTGAGGTCTTTCTTGTTAGCTTATAAGTGGCCATCTTCTCTTTGTGTCTTCACGTGGTCTTTCCTCTGTGAGGGCCTGTGCCTTAATTTCTTCATAAAGACACCAGTCATGGATGAGAGCCCACAAAGATCTGATTTTAACTCAGTTACCTCTTTAAAGAGCCCATCTCCAAATATAGTCACATTCTGGGGTACTGGGAGTTAGGGCTTCAACATATGAATTTTGGGGAGTACAATCTAGAGCCCATAACAGAGACCTATAAAAATGTGCCAATAAGCAATTTTTTGGTTTAAGCTTTACTTTGTTTTGGATGCAAATGGAAATAGAAATAAAATACAATAAAATAATATGAAAAATAAAAATTATATGAAACAAGACAAATGTCTGATCTATAGCCAAAGAATTATATAAGTGTATCTAAAAAGCAGACAATGAGGTATAAGGCTAAAATTCTTGGGCAATTCCTGGATATACTTGTAATGCTTGACCAAGTACATCACACATCATAAAAAAAGTTACAACTCATAATTGACCATATGCCTGAAACTACCAATGGGAATTTCTTTACATGTAAATTTAAAATCTAAATCTAACCAGATAGTATCTTTCTCATTAAAATATATTTTTTTGGAAAGAACTTTTGTTTTTAAAATTTTTATTTGTTTATTTGAGAGAGAGAGAGAGAGCAAAAGCAGGGGGGGAGGGGCAGAAGGAGAGGCAGAAGCAGACTCCCCACTGAGCAGGGAACTTGCCCCCCCCATTCGGGGCTCTCTCCCAAGACCCTTAGGAACATGACCTGAGTTGAAGGTAGATGCTTAACCTATGGAGCCACCCAGGCACCTCTGAAGAGAATTTACATACATTATGTACATAGTAGGATAATTTGTTTCCCAGAAAAATACAAATTATAAAAAATTATTACTCTTTGAAATATTAATTTCATTTAATCATAGGAAGAATGTTAATTTTTCCTTTCTGGTCCCTGCTGTCTATCTGATTCCCGAACCTATCTCACATAATAAAAAAGACTTGCGGTATGCTCTCCACAAAAGTGAACATTGGTCTTTTTCTGCTGGCATTTCCCACCTCCAAAACTTGCATTATGTTCCATGCTGTAAACCACCATTGTTGTGTGCCACTATATTTTGGGGACTTATTAGAATGAAGGAAGTTCTTCCCTAACATGACATTTCCTTTCTAATACAATACAAAAATGGAGTATTTAGGGTTGACCACTTACACATTGTTCCCATTTCAGGCCCCACGGCATTGCCGTCATGTATGAATGCCTAAAGCTTTTAGAGATTTCCTTTAGGGTTTTTTAGTATGTTTAATTTCCTGTGGATTTTGAAAGACTTGACCTCCCTGGGAGAAGTCTTTTGAGAGACCCCAGATGCCTATCACCTCTATGAGAGCCTTAACAGGCCAGCCTTGTAAAGATGCTGCCATAACTATGTATTGATTTGTAACCACTTTGCTCACCATAAGCACAGTTTGGCCTGTAGCAACCATTCTCCTCTACTTGTAGAATTCTCTAGAACTCTTTCTTGACATCATGACTGTCAATTCAGAAGCACTGGATTATATCAGGGGCTTCTGGGTGGCTCAGTCTATTAAGCCTCTGCCTTCGGCTCAGTTCATGATCTCAGGATCTCAGGTCAGGATCTCAGGTCAGGATCTAGGATTGAGCACTGAGTTGGGCTCCCTGTCAGTGGGGAGTCTGCTTCTTCTTCCCTGTCTCCCTCTGTGATCTCTTTTGCTCTCTCCCTCAAATAAATAAATAAATAAATAAATAAATAAATAAATAAATAAATAAATAAATAAATAAATAATCTTAAAAAAACCCATTGGGTTATATCAAAAACTCTTTTGGGAATATAATGTTAAGATTTCTTGCTACTAGTAAATTCTACTACTAGATTCTAAACACCTTGAGAGTAAGGTACTTGTCTGATTTTTTTAAAAAATACCAAACTTTTAAAAGATAAACTGAGGCATATTAAAAAGTGTAAGATTTTCTTTGAGCAAAAATGGATTGGAATAGAGTAGCATGAACAGAAGTGGTTTAGAACATTCCTTGATAGGAGCTGGGAGAAAGACTTCTATAGAAAAGGTGCAGGGAGGAGGGGCAAGATGGCGGAGGAGTAGGGTCCCCAAATCACCTGTTCCCACCAAATTCCCTAGATAACCTTCAAACCATCCTGAAAATCTACGAATTCGGCCTGAGATTTAAAGAGAGACCAGCTGGAATGCTACAGTGAGAGGAGTTCACGCTTCTATCAAGGTAGGAAGACGGGGAAAAGAAATAAAGAAACAAAAGGCCTCCGAGGGGGAGGGGCCCCGGAGGAGCCGGGCTGAGGCCGGGGCGAGTGTCCCCAGGACAGGAGAGCCCCGTCCCGGAGGAGCAGGAGCTGCACCAACCTTCCCGGGCGGGCGGAAAGGGGCTCGCAGGGAGTTGGAGCAGGACCCAGGAGGGCGGGGATG